AAAAAAAAATGTATGATTGTCAGATTAATAGAATAATATTTTCATTTAATTTTTGTAATAATGTATATTATTTAAAAAAATAATATATTATTTTAAAAATATTAATTGTTCTAGATATTATTTGAAGAAAAATATACAGAACAAATGGAAGTATCGGATGAAGAAGAAACTCAGGAAAGCAACAATTTATCCAAGAAGAATAAAATTTCTAGTAATTTGTTTAAAAAATTATCATCTAGAAGAATAAAATCAGAAGATCAACATTCAGATGAAGCATTTCAGCAAGCAAGCAAAAATTTAGAAACATATGCTGCTTTAAAAGGCAAATGGAATGACGAAACAGATTTTGGAAATTTTGTTGTGCAAAAAATTAAGAAATTATGATAAATTAACACAAAGCATTATTCGGAATGAAATTATAACCGTATTTTTAAATGCCGATAGAAAGATTTATAACGTATCATAACAATTTGTTTCAATTGTTTATACTCTACTAAAAAAAAACAGATGTACAATCTACTATTACATTCCACTCGCAAAATACGATTTCAGAACCTTCACTTCATCATTATTAAATGCAACACAGTATTTTCCCGTTAATTTTATTACTCCTGTGGTAGATGACATTCTCAGGAAATCAAAATGTAACTGCAATGTAACTTAGGGAGTACATAGGAAAAACAATGATATATTTCAATTATCAATAAATGATATAAAAATTAAAGATAGTACCATTGAATTATATTCTTTATTTAATTAATCTTTAATTTGGTATGATTTAACTTAGCCAGTTGTTGACATCAAATCTTTTATATAATACTAATGATACATGTCATTAGAGTTAATATTATTTACTTAATTTGGTAATTTGGGATTTAACTTGATGCCATATTATGATATGCCACATAATTTTAAAGATATTTAATTTAAAAGAATGCAGGTATATTCTTTTGTTAATTAATTTTTGTATTAAATTATATTTGTAACTTTTATAATGAATGATTATAAATAACTACATATTACAACTTTGCTTCCGCCGTTTTTTTTCCAAAATTCGAGGCTTTATTGTAAAAACTGGTTATACATTTATGATTCAAAGTATTGTCCATCGTTGGCCACTATTTTCTCCCATCTTTCGGGTAGCGTACGAATCCGGCATCGAAAAAACTGGTCATCTTTTGAAGCTATCCACAAATCGATCCAATTTTTTATTTCTTCATAAGACCGGAAGTGCTGGTCAGCCAGGCCGTGTGCCATTGATCGAAACAAGAGATAGTCAGAGGGAGCAACGTCTGGAGAATACGGCGGGTGGGGTAGGACTTCCCATTTCAACATTTCCAAGTATGTCTTGACCACTTTCGCAACATGGAGTCGAGCATTGTCATGCTGCAAAATCACTTTATCGTGTCTCTCGTTGTATTGCGGCCGTTTGTCTTTCAATGCTCGGCTCAAACGCATCAATTGCGTTTGATACCGATCGCCTGTGATTGTTTCAGTCGGTTTTAACAGTTCGTAATACACTACGCCCAGCTGGTCCCACCAAATACAGAGCATGACCTTGGACGTCAAAATCACCGTTCTTGAAGCGTTGAAA